ATGTCGAGTTCATGCATGAGTATCAAGAGTTGGGTCACATGTCACCGTCCAACTTCGACTGGCGGTCACAGGAGCACTACTTCCTCCCTCACTATGCGGTCTTGGGGACCCCTGGGAGTAAGATTCGGGTAGTTTTTGACGGCTCCGCCCCCTTGTCAAATGGTGTGTCCCTCATCTATTCGAGTACCCTGAAAATCCTAATTTGTCGACTGTGCTGGGCATTCAATATCAGCCTGTTCAGGATACTTTCACGTATCGAGACAAACTTGATATAAGTTTGTCTCGATACGTGACACCCCCTCCTAAATCATGGACCAAGCGCTCCGTGCTGTCTACAGTAGCCCGCACCTTCGATCCTAATGGATGGATCACTCCGGTATTTTTTTTGACTAAGTGCTTTCTTCAAAAGCTCTGGATATCTGGGTTGTGTTGGGACGACACTATAAGCGGTGCTCTCTTACGAGAGTGGTACTCCACTGTGTCCTCCCTTCCGGACATCAACCGAGTCTCCATGCCAAGGTACTTGCTCCCTCCAGGGAAATGCAGGGCTACCCTACATGGATTTTGCGACACCTCTGAGAAAGGCTATGCTGGTGTCGTATATTTGCGGACTGTGAACTCTTCTGTCCATCTCGTACTTGGTAAAAGCAAGGTTGCTCCCATTAGGTCCCGCTTAACTATCCCTAAATTGGAACTGTCCGGAGCCGCTCTTCTCACGCGACTCCTCAACCACGTTCACTCGTCTTTGAAGTCTGTAATCGACATCACGGAAGTCTACGTTTGGTCGGACAGTGAGATAGTACTTTATTGGCTCAGAGCTGCACCTCACAATCTTGAGGTCTTTGTGGCGAACCGCGAGTCTCAACGCCAGAATTCTGGCACGTCTCTAAACTGAAGACATGTCCCAGGAGAGTTGAAGCCCGCAGACTGCGCTTCTCGCGGCTGAAGCCCCCTCTTTGGTTGACCACCCGCTGTGGTGGAGTCCCAGTTGGTTGACTGAGTCTCAGTCATTCTGGCCCCAGAATAAATACTCCGCACCGATTGAATTGCCTGGCCTACAAGCCCGAGTAGGAGTGGGCAAGGATAAGCCCACTCGGAATTTCTCCCTGCTAGAACGGTACAGCTCTCTCGATAAGCTCTAGGGAGTGACTGCTTGGTTGCGTCGATTTGTCCGCAATTCGAGAGACCCGTCTAACCGAATCTCTGATTCCGTTTTGTCCCCTAGCGAGCGTCGCGAAGCCTTGATGCATTGGACCCGTATGGTCCAAGCGGAGCATTTTGAGCCCGTGATTGAAACCTTGAAGCGGGGCTCCGTTGTCAAGGGCGCTCTGGCCCGCCTGAACCTCTTCCTGGACGACGCTGGGATGCAGCACTTTGGCGGACGTTTGAAAAATTCTCAACTGCCGTACGGGGCTCGACACCCGTTACTGCTCCCTAAGGAGCCTCCTCCTCGTGTTGGAGACCTCGTGTTAGTTAAAGAACCTAACGCTTTGCCTTTGTATTGGAGCCGTGGGCGCATTGTTAAGTTGTCGCATGGACCGGATGGGGTGCCTAGGGCCGAGGTTTTGGTTGGAGATTCGGTCTAGCAACGTGCCGTCGCGACCCTATCCCGTTTGCCAATTTACTCGCGGACATAAGTCCTTATGCCCGGGACGTGGGTTTGTTTAACCCAAATCGTAACAACTTAAAACTTGCAAAAACGCTCGTCTCGGGCGAAAAACCGGTTTGACGGTTTGCGCCGGGGGCATTCGTTTTGCGGCCTGCGGCCGCGCCAATTAGTCTGGAATAATCTATTGTCCGCGACGGCCGTGTCGGTTAGATGCCGGGAAGTTAAGTTACAATGGTTAGGTCGCGTTGAGACCACAACCTTTGCGTGGTCTTATTTTGTTCGTATACGTGACAACGAGGCCTTCCTTGAGTGATTAATTTAACTTCGATTGTCATTAATTTGCGTCGACGAGTTGATTTTGTGGTATTGTAATATCGTACGAAGGATTTTTTGCTTTGTCGGGTGGAACGCTAAACTTTGTGATCCGGGAGGAGATCGCGTTCCTTCTTCGATTATAAGTTTTGTGCTAAGTGACGTTAGACTTGAGTTCAGATAACTAGTGAACGCCCACTGTAGTGATTGCACCTGGTGGAGCAGGGCAACGCATGTGTGTCTGCTGGCCGAGTACATCGGTGACGTCAGATTACATTACACACCTTCTTACACCACTTAGACCTACCATTTACTTGCCCCTGACGGTACCTTGTGGTCGACCCTACCTCCGGAACTCGGTAAGTTTGTGTTTGCTTGTCCAGCCATTACATAATAATTATCCATAGGCCATTTGGGCCCGAACCCTCTGTTGCCCGTCGAGTTGGGTTACTGATGGTCCCTAGCCCAGTCGACTTCTGTCGGGGCAACTGAGGGCCGTAATACAACAATTTCTGTTTTCTTATTATAACTGTTGTTTATATATACATACAAACAATATTCTATTTTCGACTTTTTTTTTAAATAGTTCCTATTTCTCATTGTAAAGTATATCATTAATCTAAAAGTCATTATTAATTATTGAGTTCTAAACCTTTCTTACGACATAATTTAAAGGAAAAAGAACCAATTTTTATAAGTAATATTTAAAGAAAATGTTTTAAGTCCCCTTAACCGACGAGAATGTATATATGTAATGTAATGTAAATGTAATTACATATGTAATGGATGTAGAGGAGGCGAGAGACGTATGTTAGGATCATGAAGGTTAGAGAACCATCACTACGTACTAAAGCAAAGCCCGCCTGTCCTTGTAAATTGTAGAATTTATAGCGACGCTGACGTCGGTGAGTAGTGACTGCGAAGTTAGCTGTTTATGAGTACAAGTACATGAAGTTAGTTGAATAATGTACATATTTTCTCCGCGGCATTGGTGAGAAAATTTTCATGCTCCGTAATTTTGTAATTTTTGACAAAAAGAAAAGAGAAATATTTTATTGTGCGTGGATGTGCAAGTGGTTTAGCCTCTGATCGGAAAAATAGACTGAAAATGACTTTTATTGACCGAACTTAGCGATCGCAGCGCCTCACTTATGGTGTCCATATTTCTGGGACACTATTTTCTACGGCGATCGTTCTCCTGTTCTCTAACCTTAATGGTCAGGATCATGCTAAGTGGAAGTCTGTTGTCTTTGCCTACCCCTCTGGGTGACAGGCGTAAGTGTTTATGTTATGTTAAAATGCTTTAATTTAAACTCATGTAGCCTTTATAGTTATATTATTCGTCAGAAGTAATAAGGATTTTAAGCGCAATAGCATAGAAGTAGACTACAATGGAATAAAAAAATAATTCAAGAAGCCAGTTTCAAAATCTACATTTTATTATTTTCTAATAAAAGATTCATAGAATATCCTTTACAATCTCATTCTGTCTGAGATAGCCTACATGGCGACTAGGCGAAAATCACAATTTTGGTCTTACTAAGAGCCTTAGACCATTAAGAGCTATCCTAAATAGCTAAAAATCGCCTAACTTGGCAACACTTTCGAATGCATGCGCTGCACTGTGTACACCTACACTATAAACAATTCATTCAGATTAATGGTGGTTAATATAGCGCATAGCGCCATATTATGGCGCGCTACCTCTCCATTGCGCATAGCGCGTACCACAGAAATAGTAATAAGACATTGTCTTATTATTACAATTTCTGTGATGCGCTGTTCGGAGTAGCGTCTGACGCAAAGATCAAGTAGCACGCTATTCATGGCGCGCGACTTAAATTAATGTACGACGTTGTTTAGTTAGTGTATACCGTATGTCATATTTATAAGTGATCGAAGGACACGGTTATCTGCTACAAAAGTAGCCTAACTAATGTCTGTGTATGTATTAGTTGATGTTTGTATATACAATCAATAAACTGTATCGTAATGTAATCGATTTATACATCGATTATAGACAGTCGTAAGCCTGAAAAGTATGAAAAAGCGTTAATTGGTTTTCAGTCACTACTTTATTTTATTTTAGTTTAAAATGCGAAATAATGTTCTTATATATAGCACCCGGTCTATTAAACGAACGACATGTAATGTCACGTGCTACGAGATTTAGCGTGCTGAAACTTTACGCGCTTGCCGGCGCTTTGTTATAAATAGCACGCTATAACATAGCATAGCGTATTTTATAACGCGCTAAAAATTTATAATTTATAGTCTGTAGCGTGCTATTGATTTACAGTAATTTTGAACAACTTTATTTCAGATCATTCGGGATTCGATCTCAGGATATATAAAGGTGCTCGGTGATTCGATCGGTACCTATTCGACTCATTCGCAATTCCCACTAACCAAGAGTTAAAATGTTTTCGTCAATTGTTTGTGATTGGTTGTACCTGAACATTGCTAGAGCCATGCTGCAATTATATTAGTAGTATAGTTGTAGCACGAATGGTTCGGCTCGACCGGGGAAGGACCACACTCTCACAGAATACCAGCGTGAAATAGTTAGTAGCTTAACGCTGCTGTGTTTCGTATGGTGAGTGTAGAGACCGGAGACCCTTTTAACTGGAAACGAGGCATTCCATCTTAGTCCTCACGGGTGACAACGCATCTGCATTTTGATTCGTAATCGAGGATAGATGCAGATGTCTATGGGCCGCAGCAACTACTTACCATCAGGTGGACTGTGTGCTCGTTTGTCACCCTATCCTATAAAAAAAAAGCAGGAGAATGAAACATAAATACTTTTAAGTGTATCAGCTCAAACGCACGAATTATTCATGATTGACGCATGTCTAAATTCTAAAGGTACTTTTTCTTCTACGTTATATTCATATCGGAAAGCTGGCTTAAGACAAAACTCTTCAACGTCTTATAGTCTTCCAGGATATATTATGTTGCACTGGTAGTGCGGTCGTTACGGAGTATAAAAGAGGCGGATGTGTCGCTAACTGCGTTAAAAAAAGTCACTGGTATTGACGTCTTCTAGATAATATTGAAATTAAATGAAACACAATTCTTATTCCTCGTGTTTATTTTTAACATAATAATTAAACAGTTCTTCGGGTGTTAAGCTTTCCAAAAAAGATTTATATGACTTTATATAATTTCTTTTTATACACAGTATAGCATTGTGATAGCGCCTCTTCTCTAAAACTGATAAAGAGTTCCAATTCACGGTTTCCTCCTTCGTCCTCAGCATCAGCATTTCATATAACTCTTTACCTGATCTGAAAGTTTTTCTTTTATTATTAACTAGCTTTAAACCGCGTCTGCATATGTAAGTATTTAATACAAAAAAACCCGCAGGTTCATAATAGTGGTCTTTGGGTAGGTAGGTTCAATTTACAAAAATAAAAAAAATATATTCAGCTGTGGACTTTGGTGGGATAATAATATTGATGATGATGACGATTAGTTGTACAGTGAACAATCAAGTATCCCAGTAAAGCGCTACGGGTGGCTAATACGATTATATAATTGTGTTGCAGTGTCAAGCGCTATATAGCTATAGCTCTGATTACGACGTACTCTAACACATGAAGAGCTAAAATATTCATTCGCGAACAGTTATTTTTTAAAATACTTTAGATAAACACCAAAAAATTGTAAAATACACATACATGAGAAAGAAAAATAAACACTAAAGTATTCAGAGACAACTCAAACTTCACAATGTAAAAATTTGTGTAACATAATATTATAGTTTAGAGCTATCCTAGCCACAGGAAAAATTGCACGGAGGATTGTGACTATTCCTTTGTATTTTTCCTTTATTTTACTGTCCGTAAAATTTGTTTGCTCGATATCTGATTTTGATGACGGTGATATAAATTGGTTTTTGGTAATGTTAGGTTCCTAGTTCTTAAAATAATTTACTTATGGAAAATAATAAAACATGAACATGTCAGTGGTAGAATAAAAAAATATTGCTTTGTGTCATTATCCAGGAAGGATCATTATTGCATTTGTATGGAATAAGACCCGACCAGATATCCTCTTAAGACGATATTTACACATTTCTAACAGCCCGGATTTTCTCTTCAACATTTCGTTTAATTCGTCATCCGCGTCAAACGTACAGACTTCAAACTTTTTCTTTCCGGTGTGTGATACAGGTTGATTGAATTTACATCCTTCTACTCCGCAGGCTTTTTTTGCTTGTATTTAAGACGAGGGTGTCAACTGCTCGTACACTTAAAATGTATTGCCCTCTTTTTGTGCTCAGTTCTAAAGTTTGTTATATTTATCTGCGTCAGCCTCTTGCCCGGGCTCACCGTGTCCACCAGTTCACCAATACAACACAAATACTTTTTAGTGATGGATATGAGTGCATATCGGCGGCGACGTGTCGCAATCACCAACGCAACAGTGCGTTGCCCTTTTCCCGATCGGTACTACTACAGGTGCGGCACTAAAAGTACTCACGATCAAAATTCCGCATTATGAACTGTGACAATGAAATGATGTCGAGATCCTCTGAACTGGCATAACGTACGGCGTGATAACTGTAGAAACCATACGTTTCTCCGTCAACTTCTCTAGCCTTCATTGGGTTTTATAACCGTTACCTTCCATATTCGTAGAACACGTAATGTTCTGCAATTTGGAGGCTAACATATGCTATTTCACCCGGGCGAGAAATACTTCTTAAATCATCTAGACACTTTAACAATGTTAACTACCTACCCTAAATATTGCTCTACCATTCTCTGCCCGTCATCTAGATCTCTAGTAGTGAATAGAAGACATGCTTTTAATCTTTATGTTTATCGTAAGAAGAACGACAGGTTAGGAGACTTTCAGGGCAGAGAGCAGACTGTTTGTAGGTTTGTAGGGTCTCTCTTTGTGAATGGAATCATTCATTTCTTCAATTCTTTTACACAATCTATTACTTCTGTTTACTTCGCTACACTAAAATAAATTTCACGTTCAATGCATTTGGTAAAAAAGTCAAAACGACATAAATATTGAAAGAAAACAGGAATGTAATGTTTGTTGTTTTGTATATTAAAATCATTACGATATATAGTAGATAGTTGTTTGAATTAATTTCAATGGAAAAACAAAATTTCAATTCAATTCTTGCTAAGCTTTTAGTGAAGCTTAATACATATTTATTTAAATTAAACATAACAGTATTTTATTTTAAGAGTTTGCTTACGTAAATCGCGGTGGGATAGGTTCAGGAAGATATTCCGGTCCAAAAGAATTATTGTCGGGGATTTCATTTTCTTGAGATTCTGCAAAATCTAACTCCGACCTGTAAGTACAAATTTTGTTTTTATTGATGTAACTGTACTAGGTAGTGACGTAGTAAAATACAAATTGGTGAATCTGTTGGAGCATATAGCATTTAAATTAAAAAATACAAATTAATTACTTCTAATAGTGTAGCTTGTAGTATGTAAACTTAAAAATACGAAATATTTAGTAAATTTTATAGTAGTCGTCGTATGTCGCAGTCAACTAGCTTAATTAGCCTTTCAGTTAACAGCCTAACCTTTCTACTAAAGGGCACTGTTAAACTAGCTGCCTGAATTCGCGATGCACAGCGCCGCTTTTGCACGCTGCGTCAATCTACGAAGTAAGTAGTTACGTTATCGTAACTCGTATCGTACAATGTAACTACAAGAGTAGTTACGTTGTACCAGTTCTGGCGAACTGAGTCAGAAGTGATACAAGAGTAGTTACGTTGTACCAGTTCTGGCGCACTGAGTCAAAAGTGGTACAAGTACAACGTTCGTAGAGACTCACGATCCTAAAAAAAAAGGTTTTGGCATGTTCTGATCACGAATCTGCGGTCCATTTTTGCGTAGGATGCACGGTTCCGGAGATGTGCAGATCAATTAACTCTTATCTAATTGATATCCGGTGAAGGCCTCCACCGTCATTAGCGCTCCATTGTTATTATCTAATTATCTATTGTTCATTGAATACCGTCATTATCTATTCTTCCTCAGCGTGGTGCTATTGTATTATACTCCTTTGTTACTATCTACACTAATCTGAATCATCAATAAAACACATTACCTAATTTTGTTAAAATTTTTATTTACAAAATACAAAATCTTATTATCTATAAAATGGGAGCGAAACATCTCATTCACTAAAATATCGTTGTATAATGTGTTCCCTGTAAATATACTCGTAAAACTATGCATTGAACATCCCTGAAACTTATATAGTAAATACATTAAGCAATATTCGCCACAAACTGAAGTCCACTCATTCTGAATCCTTTCAACATTACAGTTCCATCTTTTACAATTCCTTTTTAAAAACTCTAGATGTTATCGTTTCACGCGCCGCCAGCCAGTCTTGTGTCCTCTTCGCTCTATGAGCTGACGCCGAATCTTGTTGGAATACCCAGTGCCTGTTACTGAACATGGTATGAGAAACAGGTTACACAAGGTTCGTCAGGACTGTATTTTGATACACAACTGTATTCCTTTTCACACCTTTCTCACAAAAATGTACCTCTGTTAAGCCCCAATAAGAAACTCCCAACCATACTATGAGCGAGGATGGAAAATGACCACCTCGTTGGACACGCGGAATACGGTTGCTCGCTTCTTCACTACTGTGTGCGTACACCTTATCATTTTGTTTGTTGTAGCTCTCTTCTACGGTAAAAAAAATTACATCCGAAAAAAGAATTACCCGATATTTTTTCCCGCGTACCGCTTCAACAAAGCGCGGCATCTCTTCAGTCTCAGGTCCATTAGACGAGCACTCAAACGGTGTCCTGTTTTTTTTTTTCGATATGCCCGAAGCCTAAGTCTTCATTTAACACCCTTTTCACCGTGGTTCTGCTTAACCCCATCTGAAGGGCCAACAGTTTCTGCTTACGTTTGGGATTTCTTTGAATTCGCGCCTTTACAGCTTTTATCACTGCTGGAGTCCTAACAAATCGAGGGCGACCACTTCTTGACCTGTCATCTACACTAGATTCTTCATTGTATAGTTTGATGGTACGATAAACGAATCTTTTGATTATATTCAAATTTTTCAGTATGTCAAAAATTTGAATTGGCACGTAACCGCAGCGATGCAACGCAATAACTGCAACACGGTTTTCTTTAAGCGTCCACTCCATATTTAGAAATGAGTAAAATTCTAAAAAGTATACAGTTTTATTTTCATGAACAATTCGAATTCAATAAACTTTTTTGTGGCCAGCATTCTAAAAGAAAAGTTTTTACTCTGTGACAATACTTATGACCTGACTAGGTATATACGTTGGTACGTGAGTGTACATGGGCAGTCTATTAACAGCATAAACATTATTTTCTAGACTGGGGTGAATCTTTTTCAGATGTTGTTGTACATCTAGTGTATCCATGATATTACTGCTATTAGTAGATTATTACAGTACAATCTACTCAATGACTAACATAGGAATGATCAATTATAGTGATATTAATTATTTTAGCATTATTTTGTGTTATACAAAACGTATTTGAGTCATCAATACACTGAACAAAACGTGACACGACGTAATGTTGAGATAAGCAACAAAATGTGAGATAAGCTTGTTGACGCATAAAGTTATTATCAATTCCACTGTAGAAATTCTTTAGATTAGAATTATTACTTACTGGTACTATATAAGACAAGGCAACTGCAGTCATGGAGTTAGTGTATGGTCGTTTAACCGCAGTTGATCTATCAATACTACATTTGTGTTACTTCAACGTATCAAAGGCCATAGATGTAAGTGTTTATTCTATCGACAAACTTACTTTTCTTTCTGTTATTTTCTTACGTGTGTATGATTTAGTGTTAACAAATTATATTTAAATATTGTGTATGTGTATATGATTGAGCCGTGGTAGCTCAGATGGTTAGCGCAAGCTGTAAATTTCACAGTACGCGACACGGGTTCGATCCCCGCCGGCACCAATTAAATTGTTAATTGCAATTTTAAGTGTTTATTCTATTGACAAACTTACTTTTCTTTCTGTTATTTTCTTACGTGTGTATGATTTAGTGTTAACAAATTATATTTAAATATTGTGTATGTGTATATGATTGAGCCGTGGTAGCTCAGATGGTTAGCGCAAGCTGTAAATTTCACAGTACGCGACCCCGGTTCGATCCCCGCCGGCACCAATTAAATTGTTAATTGCAATTTTAAGTGCTGATTTACCACGTGCTCGGCGGTAAATGAAATCATCGTGAGGAAACCTGCATGTCTGAGAAAATTTCGAAGGCATGTGAAGTTCGCCAACACGCATTGAGGCCGCGCCGCGGACATTTCCTAGCCATAAATACAAAGACAATAGCAGAAAGTCAAAAGGTTAAAATACTTTTTTAACAATGACAGTCATTAGTTGATCATTAGTTAATGTGATTCTGTTTACTTAAATTACAGGAAGACAAGAGCAGAAGGAAGAAATGGGATGATGGGAAGTAATGAAGCATTGTTATGCGAAGTTTGTTGGAACAAACATATTTTTAGTCACGTGTAAATACTTTTAACATTTTGGTTCAAAATGACACAAAATCTAAAATATATTAGATATATCATCGACATGGACGGATTTTACATAACATATCCTCATAAACATTTTCAATGTAGAGAAATGGCTATTCTAGATGTAAAACTATCTAATAAAAATGATGCGTTTATCGATCATTATTTGTTTCGGCCAAGTTATCCTTTCAATAATTTGTCGCCAAAAGACAAAAAAACTGTTCGTTATTGTGAAACACACGTGCACGGCATTCCATATTTTAATGTGACCGAAGAATTAAAATGTGCCTACAAACAAGAGAACATCACTAACTAATGTTTTTGGGAAATCAAACAAAATCTATGATTAATTTAAAATTTTATTTTCAAGCAATAACCACTTGTAAAAAACCCACACTTCGTCACAAGAACAATGTAAAATTTTGTGATTATTTTTTGCAAATATATGATTATTACACACATAACGTTTGTTTAAATTTATGACATTTACCAAATCATTGTATTTTGGACATTTGTATTCTTCAATATTAAAAATTCTATCATTCGTCGTCAACATTTTTAAAAATTGTTTTTCTGTTGAACCACCTTTGTACTATATAGTATACTATAACTAATGTTTTTGGGAAATCAAACAAAATCTATGATTAATTTAAAATTTTATTTTCAAGCAACAACCACTTGTAAAAAACCCACACTTCGTCACAAGAACAATGTAAAATTTTGTGATTATTTTTTGCAAATATACTCGTAAGATTATTGCATACATAACGTTTGTTTCAATTTATGACATTTACTAAATCATTGTATTTTGAACATTTGTATTCTTCAATATTAAAAATTCTATCATTCGTCGTCAACATTTTTAAAAATTGTTTTTCTTTTGAACCACCTTCGTATGCGAGTACTATAACTAATGTTTTTGGGAAATCAAACAAAATTTATGATTAATTTAAAATTTTATTTTCAAGCAATAACCACTTGTAAAAAACCCACACTTCGTCACAAGAACAATGTAAAATTTTGTGATTATTTTTTTCAAAATATATGATTATTACACATATAACGTTTGTTTAAATTCATGACATTTACCAAATTATTGTATTTTGGACATTTGTATTCTTCAATATTAAAAATTCTATCATTCGTCGTCCACATTTTTAAAAATTGTTTTTCTGTTGAACCACCTTTGTATGCGATCACTTCGTCTTTGCATAAATTTCTAATATACCAATTTAATATGGGGGTGATGTTCTCTTGTTTGTAGGCACATTTTAATTCTTCGGTCACGTCAAAATATGGAATGCCGTGCACGTGTGTTTCACAATAACGAACAGTTTTTTTGTCTCTTATCGACAAATTATTGAAAGGATAACTTGGCCGAAACAAATAATGATCGATAAAGGCATCATTTTTATTAGATAGTTTTACATCTAGAATAGCCATTTCTCTACATTGAAAATGTTTATGAGGATATGTTATGTAAAATCCGTCCATGTCGATGATATATCTAATATATTTTAGATTTTGTGTCATTTTGAACCAAAATGTTAAAAGTATTTACACGTGACTAAAAATATGTTTGTTCCAACAAACTTCGCATAACAATGCTTCATTACTTCCCATCATCCCATTTCTTCCTTTTGCTCTTGTCTTCCTGTAATTTAAGTAAACAGAATCACATTAACTAATGATCAACTAATGACTGTCATTGTTAAAAAAGTATTTTAACCTTTTGACTTTCTGCTATTGTCTTTGTATTTATGGCTAGGAAATGTCCGCGGCGC